CACTGGGCAAATGGCAGGTTAATATCACAGCTCATTAGGAGCCTCAGTAAGGGCGCAAGCTGGCCTTGGGAAAAGCCACATAAGGTTTAAAAAGAGACAAGTTTCAGGGACCAATCTTTGACTTGCTATTTTCATGGTTCCTATAAGGCACTGGATCTCGTGGCACTATAGAGTCCGGTTTTTACTAGTGGTGAAAGGTTGGTTTTATCTGGTGGGGAAATTTACTCAAAAAGAAGATGCCAAGATAGCATCAGGGTTTAGAATTTCAGCAAACAGGTAGGCCTTCCCTAAAAGAGCAATTTCCTTTTGGCTTCAAACCAACTATCCCAAGTAAAAGTAAAAAATGATGTAAGGGGGGCTTCTAAGATCATTCTCTGACTCTCACTAGAAGGGAATTTGCCCCATCTCACAATTGAAGAATACTTTTAAAAACTGAATCACTAAGAAGGATACTGTGTCAAAGTTGATTGCAAGAGGATGGTTAGACCCAGGTCAGGATTTGAACTAGCTTGCTATATTCTAACACTATAATTAAGTAGTCGCAAAAAAAAAGTCTCTGCATTATCCTTTTTCTTATCTGTAGTGAAAACCTGAGTGAGGAGCACTGCAGACCCTGCTTAGAGGAAATACATTTAAATGACTCAAAAATATAAACAAATACTCTGCATTAAACAAACAAACCAAAAATTAAAGCACAACAAACAAAGACTGCAATGTAAGCAGAGGTGAACATTAAATATCATGGTAGCAATGACAGGTACCCCCAAATGGGGGCTCATGTTCCATGCACGCTCCATGGACATTTGTAAATGGGATCTATCAGGGTTTGGCTAAAATTCCGAAAGCAGCAGACAGTGGGCACCTGTCATTTCAACAAGGGATGTTAAGAGCACCTAGGACATTTATAATTCACATGCCATGACTCATTTAAGTAACACTGTATCACTTATTGCCACACTGTTAGCAAGCATGATCTTATCTGCACTGAAAACCTAAGTTTCTGTTCACTTACCTTGGTATCTTTGAACCAAGATCCCTAATATTTAATCTCTGAGTGTTTGAGTTATCTGGCTATGAAACAGGGTCCTATCGCATTTTTATTGTGCAAGGTTTTAGTCCTAGGATCAAGTAAGACTAAATGGCAAACTTTTAAAAACGGTAAAATCCAATCAGCATGTAAATTACTAGTAACACAAAGTGACCTTGTTGTTGTTAAGTGCCATCAAGTCGGTTCCGACTCATAGCGACCCTGTATAGCGTTTCCAAGGAGCAGCTGGTGAGCTTGAACCACTGACCTTGTGGTTCCAGGGGGATGAATCCCAATTTGCTTTGCTGAATACTAGTTTTCCATGGTAGATATGATGTAGCTAAATGATAAAAATAAACCCACCTAAATGGGGGAGAAAAAAAATTTTTTTTTTTTTTTTAAAAGAACTCTATGGGAAACTGGATTAAAAAAAAAAAAAAACCAAAAAAAAAAAAAAACCAAATGGGGCAAAATTTCAGCCTTTGAAAAGTATGAAATACTATTGGGAGAAAAAGAAGAAATAGTAAAAGTCTCAAAACTCTAAAATTGTGTGGCCAGACAAGCTGTGCTCTTCCCGACTGCAAACAGCTCTGTTGGACTCATTCTTAATATGGAAATATGGCTGTATTTAAGGAAAATGTTTTAAAAAAGAAAGAAAAGGCAAAGGAGGGAAAAAAAGTTAGATAAATCGTTAGATAACACTGTTGCACTTGGGGGCGTAATTAAATTATCCTACAATTAATTGTGACTCACTGTATAAATGTCACAGCAGAATGACCATTGTTCTATATAGTATTTCCTTACATAGCTTTATTAAATGCAACAGATAGGGAGAAAAATCTAATCTCATAGCCCCTTTGATTCAGGTTTCAGTGACCAAAATTCTTTGAAAAAGCAAAAGGAATATCAGAACAGTCTAACTGGATAGTGCTGTATATAAAAAAGACTTCAACTATTTAGAACGTTAACTATGTTATTGACTTGTCCTTTTAGATACATACGTTGTTCTTTTGTACAAGCCCCTATCATGCGATTATAGCAGCCAGGCAATAAACATGGAGCAGACACACACACATTTTAAAAAGCAACAGATGAATCTGTGTGCCATGAGCCCAGAGCCAATCACAGGGCAGCCATTTGATCAGCACCTGCAGTGGAAGCCATGGGTAGGTGACTTGTTTTTGTCCATAAGCTGGGACTAGGGCATTCATGGGAGTCTTGTACTCAGTGTGAGTTAAGTACCACCTCCTCATTGCTCATCCCCCTCCAGGCCTCATTAGGAATTCAGATCCAGATGGGGTACCTCTCTGGTCACTTAGGCCAAAGGGAGCCAGTTTAGAAAGTGAAGGTGACATTGGCAATAACAGCTCTTGCCTGTTTCCTGAGCTAAGCTGCATCCAAACAAGCAGTACCATCTCAGAAGCCAAGCCAAATAATGGCAGGGTGAACGTAGCACATTTCCTTTGGTTACATTTCATTTTCTTCCCTGGATATAAAACAAGGGGAATGTTCTTAGGGCTTGGCCCCAGAGGTGGGTGGTGTACTGCAGACTTGGGATGGCCAATCTCTAGGGGAGAAATCTCAAATCCTGATGGAGGTGGTCTCTGCTCTCTCTTCTCCTCCCTAGCCCTCCCCACAGCATTGCGGACACCTATCACGGAGCTAACCGAGATCTTCATGGGGATCTGCAAGGAAAAGTTTCATTTCATAAATGAGGCAACTAAGGGTATGGCAGGGATGCCGCCAACGGTGGGCTCAATTCACACGGTCACTTGGGTCTCCTGTCTGCAGCCAGATGCCCCTTCCACCCCACTGTCTCCATTACAGGTTTGCTTCACAGAGGTCTGCTTGGAATATTGAGATGGAGCTAGGATGGCAAAATCATTTATCTGCAGCAAGAGCTCTGCATTGTCACCTAAGGCCCTGTGCTTCAGTGCAGTGGGGGCATCTGAAATTTAAAGCAATCTCCTTTCTGTGTGTTATTTTAGGGGGAGGGAGGGGAAATGATAGTGTATTATTTCCCTTGGAGAACATACATAAAATGCTAATCACATGAAAAAATGCAGTTTGTGGGCAGCATATCTCACAATAGCATACAGTTATACCGATAATGTCATTAGTAAGAAACCATCACACATGATAAAATGTTTAACAAATATAGCAGAGTCCTAGAAATTGTGATCTTGTAATCCCTTGAAAGATTCTTAAGAATTAAACTTTAAAAAATTAGGATTGTGGAGGTTCACTCGAAACCTTTGCATTTAAGACTAAGATTCAGACCATTGCTAATTCTTGCTGATTAACAGTGGCAAATACAGCTAATGCCTCAGACTTGAGAGAAGAAGAGTCTAGGGGTGGGGGTGAGAGGGAAAGCAGAAAATTAGAGAGGGCAAGGGAAGGATGTAGAGATTTGGGAAAGGGTCTTGTGGAAATGATGGACGGGGGTCTTGGAGAAGGGAGGGGCACTCAGAGATGGAAGAAACTAGAAGCATCAAAGGTGCTTTTCTGGTTAGAATACGATTATGTCCAGTTTAATTATATGATTCTGGGATTTCTTTTTGGCATTTTTTGATTAAAAACTGAGTAACAGAAGAGAGCTTACCTCTGAGTCTCTTGGTTCCCAGCTAAAGCTGCTTGAAAAAAACTCAATTGTCATATTTCACAAATGACAGTCACAATTTTACCACATTTTGTCCACACGTGTAAGATATACTCAGAGCATTTTTTTTTTCCAAATGTCACTTTATTTTAACTGCATTTCAAACACATGAATGGTATTCCACTCCCAACACGTAAGCCCCTCTTTTTAAAACTAAGTTCCTGCTCCTGTCCTCTTTGTAAAAGTATAAACGATTGGCTTACCTTAGACTCTTCCCTAGGGGAAAAAAAACACCATTTTATATATTTTTGAAACACAGCCACGCCCACCCCCTTGTCACCAACCCAGTGTGGGTTTTGACCCAGACCTGCCTGCAGCAACTTCAGTGTGGTTTGCTTCGGGTTTTTTACCCCTCTCCACCCTTCATCTCCCGCCAGGTGAGCTGAGTGTGAGCAGAACAGCAAACCTACTAAGGTGCAGCGGCGCGCGGACGCCTCAGATACCTGTGCGTCTGGTTTTCAAAGGCAGGAGGGTTTGGCGAACGAATGAGAAGTGAGGACAACACTTAGCGCAAAGGGAAAAAGAGAGAGAGAGAGAGACAGACATTGAAAACAGGTTGTGGAGGTCCGCGGGCAGTGGCTCCCTGCCCCCAGGCCACTGGCCCAGCATCTTACCAATCGGTCCCGCCACCGTGCCCGCTGCATTTCCGCACGGCGGCGCCGCGCCAGCGCACAGGTTTCTACCAGGAGTGCGCCAACACCGAAAGTTTTTGCTCGCGCCCAGGCGCCAAACACAGAAAGCCTGTTCCCCAATACAAGTACACAGACGGCGGACACTCAGGGAAGGGGCACTGGCGAACACTTGAGCGTATCATGCACACACGCACGTAGAATATGAACACCAACACACACCAACGACACAAGCTGTCCGAGTCCAAGCAGCCGGGCCAGGCGAGGCGGGGCGCACCTTCCCAACGACCCCAGCCACCGCGCCCCGGACACGTCGCCAGGGGAGCCCCGGGCCCCTCCCCAGCGGGTCCTGGCTCACCTGAAGCCCCCCGCCTGTTCTGCCGGCCCCCATCCCTGGGGCTCCGGGGCAACTTACGGTGTGGGCGCTGGCTTATGGAGCCAGAAACGACCCTCAATGTCGCTCTGCGCCACTTTTCTCCCTGGAGGGTACCCACTGGGACCCCCTGCGCCCCCCCAGCCCCTCCCATGCCCCGGGCAAAGTTAGGGCCCCTGGCTGGAACTTTCTGGCAGGCGCTCCTGCCTTTGCCCGGGCCCTCCTCGGCCGCGGGCCCTGCGCCCCACCAGGCCGCCCTGCCACCCTCCCGGCCGCCGGCGGCCCTGCTCGCGGGCAGAGTCGCCGCATTACCTAGAAGCAGCAGGCGGTGCGTACACATGTACCCCATCTTTTCGTCCTGCAGCTGCTTGTCGATGAGCTTGCTGCGCCTCTTCTCCGCGCGCTTCTGAGCACGTTTCTCCAGCGCTTCTTTGCGCTTCTGGCGCCGCTTGTCCGCCAGAGGTACCTTCTTGGTTTTGGAGGTGCGGGCCCCTGCAGACGGTGGACTCTCAGAGCGGCTTCCGAAGCAGCCTCCGAAGGCTTGCATGAGGAAGTTCTGGAGCAAGTTGCGGCGGTGCTTGCGGCGGCGGTGGCCACGGCGGAAGTGGCTCCAAAAGTAGCAGCCGGTGCCATCGTCGGACTCGTCTTCGCTGCTGTGCTCGTCGTCGCTGCTGTCAGAGCCTTCGTCGTGGCGGGTGCGGCTGCGGCCGCGCTCGGCCTTGGCCCGCCGGGCAGCCGCGCGAGGAGGCACCGGACTAGGAAGCTCTGCAGCCTGGATCTCGGGGCTGGGGGGTCGGAGGAGCTGCAGCTGGGGGCGGTCTCCGGCGGCGGCAGCGGCGGCGGCGGCGGAGATTGGGCCGCGGGCGCGGGCCCAGGCGGCAGGGGTGGCCCGGGCAGCGGAGGCAGCGCCAGGAACGGCCCAGGCTGGGGCAGGGGCAGGGGCAGCGGCAGCAACAGGGGCGGCCCCAGGAGGGGCAGCGGCAGCCCCGGCAGCGGTGGCCCCGGCGGCGGCAGGGGCTCCTCCATCCCCGGCAGAGGGGACTTTGCCTCCCTCAGCGGCTGAGGCTCCAGAGTCTCCTTCCATCTCAGCTGCTGCTCCTTCAACTGGGGGTCTCTCTCCCTCTGCTCGTTCTGCCTCGACTGGGGCTCGGGAGACCTCGATGGGCGGGCCGTCAAGCGCGATTGGGGGGCTGTCCATGTTGACGGGAGCGTCGTCGACCCCACGGGGGGCGCTGCCAATCTCGAGTGGGGGTCGGGCGATCTCCATCGGGGGGCTGGTGCCCGCGAAGCCAAGAAGCTCTCTGGCAGCCTCTCGGGCTGGGTGGTCAGGGACTCCGGGGACCCAGAGGGGGGGCGCATTCGCGCCGGCAGAGATGTAGACCGCACCCGGGGCCGCGACTGCCGCGGACTTGTAGCCGCCGTCGGGCTCAAGGAAGACTCGGGGGCACCCGGGGGGTGGGCTGTCACCCCCAGAGGCTGCTCCATCAAGCTCAAATGGCACAGCCTCCTCAGGGGGAGGGCTGTAGCCTCCGCAGCCAGGGCTGGCTGGCCCAAGGGCTCGGGGCTGCTCGGGGGGTGCACTGGGGACCCCCAAGCCTGAGCTTTCCAGAGCCAGGGCTCCGAGCTGCAAGGGAGCTGGGCTGATGGCTCCCTGGCCAGACCGCTGCTGCTCAAAGGGCATGGTTTCCTCCGGTGGAGGGCTGTAGGCTCCCAGGCCTGCTCTGGCACCATCGAAGGTTCCAGGCTCCACAGAGGCCGAGCTCGAGGCTCTGAGGCCTGCACCGACCCCAGGGTGGGCTCTGGGCTGCTCCAGGGTAGGCCAAAAGCCTCCCGAGTTGGGCTCCTTGACATCGAAGGGCTTAGCTTCTTCAGGAGGTGGGCTGGAGCCTCCGAGACCTCTGGCTTCCTCGATGGCCTGTCCAAGGCCCTGGGATGAGGGCCCGGAGAGCTGTGGCGGCCCACAGGCCTCGCCGTCAGCCTCGAAGGGGACGGGCTCGGTGACTGGCGGTTCGGTCTCCATCGCTTCGGCTGCGCCAGGCCCAGGACCGGGGGCAATTGGCCCTGGGGCCTCCACCGGCTGCTGGGGCTGTTGCCCGAGCTCAGGGGTGGTATCGCGTTGTCCTGACATATTATTGCCGTCGAGGCAGTTGCGCATGCCCATAACACGGTGGCGGCCTCTTAGAATAATTTTGGGGCCCCGTAAGACGGAGCACCCAACCAAACTAGGGTGAAAAAAAAAAATGTGAAAAAATTCAAAGTACCCCCCCACGAAAGTTCTCCAACCTCAGTATCCAACCTCTATGAGGTCTGGAGGTTCAAGGCCCTCGAACCCTAGACTGTGGCTGAAGCAGACTACTGCAGTTGGTGGAGTCTTGGCGCCTTCTTAGCCACTTTTTATCCCCTCAGACTGCCCCCTCGCTCCCCCCTTGTCCTGCCCTTGTCCCCTCCTCTCTGTCTCTGCAGCAGGCCAGCTCCGCCTGCTTGGGTCTGAGCAGCGCGCCGATTTGGTCCGAGAATTGCTCGCAGTACCCTCTCTCTGCCACCAGGGGATGCCTGTCCCAACGCAGGTCGGGCTCCAGGAGCCGGCTCCAGGCGCCGGCAACCCGGACTTTGGGTAGGGGGCTGGTGAGCGCAGGCCTCGCAGGGACGTTTAGGCTCCTTCCACTCCTCTCCCGGACTGATTTGGAGTCCTTCTCTTCGCCTCTCCCTCGGCCAGAGAGCGAGCTCTCCTGCGTTGCAGGACACGTGACGCAAGACGTGGGCCCCGGGCTGCTGGAGCGCAGGAGCTGAAACCCTCCCCTCCCGGACCTAACTACTCTTCTCCAGGGGGAGGGGGGACTGCGGGCGGCTTTCATCACCCCAGGATACCCCTGAACCCCTCTGCCGCAGCCCCCGGCCCCGGAAGCCCTGATCCCAAGAGCAGCTTCGTGTCTGGAGCGCAAAGCTTTGGGTACAGGGGAAGGTGGGCGCGGATGTGCGGCGATGCGACAGGTGGTCGTGAGCCCACCGGAGGGGGGGCGGAGAGAGAAGGCAGAGGCCAGGGGCTGCTGTGACAAGGCACACTTTGTTTTTTTTAAACGCCTTAAGGCACTTTGATGCTTTTCTGTTTGCTGCTTGTGGAAGCTGTTTCCGTAAAGCATTTCCATGTCTCCATCCCCACCACACTCAGAGGGTCTCCGCAGTGGCCTAGAGCGACGCCAGCAGGGGTCTCTTTTCCCTCCCCCCCTCACCCGTTTCCATTTACAGTGATGAAGCAGAATAAGAGGGTCTCGGGTGTGCACAGTGATAGAGTCTGTGAATTTCCCCCAGGCACCTCCTTTGTCGCGGCACGGACCCCAAGCGCGCAAAGTACACAGGGAGACCCCACTCAGTGCCGGCCTCAGTTTCCACTGGTCCCACCGTTCTGGGAACCAGGGTAAGGTGGTTTGGGTCAGGGATTTAAGGCTGATTTGGGGTGGTCTCAGCCTGGACAATCTCGTGCGTACAGGTTTCAAAGCGCATCCTCTGTGTCCCGTGCCTTAGATGCCCGCTGCAGGGTTACTCAGTACCCCTGCCCACCCCCACCCCCCATGGCTCCTCTCCCATCACTATGGTCTCCCCCGGCGGTCGCCTCACTTTTCCAATGTTAGAGTCCGCTTAGGCGTTAACAAACACTGCACAAACCTGGCAGCGCCAGCTGCGCTCCTATTGCCAACTCGCGCAGTAGACTCGGAGTGCGCTCAGGGGAAAATATCCGCACCGCCTAGTTGGGCTCGGCACAGGCACACGCACTTAGCTGGGTCTGGGGGTCTGCACAGGGATTTGAGTCTGCCGAGGAATTTGCTACTTGAGGGTCACGTGAAACCCTGCTCGCAGGTATGGAGACAGTTAGTTTCACCGGCAGGTGACACGCAACACGAGCCAACTTTTAGGTGCAGAGCAGCTGGGTAAAGGCCAGGTGGTCGCCTGCCCTGGGGGACCACGGGAGAGGTAGGACTTGGTGTTTGGTACCCAGGATGGGCTGGGGCAGTGTCGCTTGGATCACTGTATCCACGAGCTGCGCGCCGGCGAACCACGGCACAGCCCTATCCCGTTAGGTCTACCGCCTCAGTCTTAGACCGAAGGTACCACAACCACAAGCATCAGTGCCCCCCCCCACTCCCCGCATCCACTAACCACGTGGCTGTAGAGATGGAAGAAAGTTGACAAAGTCGGACCACTAGGTAACATTTGGGAACCCTCAAAGGCGCATCTTCTCCGTCCTACGGGTTTACACACTTCCATGTGCCACCACTGAACTTTGGCTCAACTTTGGCCAAGTACCCCCACATACAACGGCTTAACCATTTGGGAACCCATTGACTGGTCCAAATGGGTTCCCAAAACCAACGCATTCCCCCTGCGACCCTAAAGCCAGGTCGGTCATTGGGCTGGGGTCACGCCAATCAAGACCGCCTGGCGAATGAACAGGGGGCATTAGACCGGAAACCGGATATGAGGGGGAGGTCCGACAGGGGGCGCCTCGTTGGAACGCCCAAAGAGGTTGTGCTCCTGGAATGGCTGGAAGGCATTGGTGGGCGGATGTATGGCGGCCAGACCTCAGCGGCCACGAGGCCACCTGGCGCCGTTGGGTCACTCTACCTAACCCCATAGGTCACAGAGGTGGGTAGGGAGGTCGGATGCCCCAGGGTCCACCCCTTGATCTCCTAGATGACGAGGGGCGAGCCTGTCCAGGAAGAGGCCGCCGCTGGGGCTAAGCGAAGGGAAAGATGGTCAGGGCTTCAGTCGAGGCCCAGGACCTTAGCCCCAACGAAGAGCCACAGCCCAGATGGATAAAGAGCTGAGGCCCCAAGGACCCGAGACCTGCAGAAGTGGAAGGTCAGTGGAATTGTGGGAGGAGCCCAAGGAGGCCATGGTGGGGGCCCCCCCAAAAGAACTGCCTGCTTTTACACGGTCTCAGACTAAGCCTGTACCACTTGGGTTGATGCAGACTTGAGATGTCTTTACAAGACGATACCCACGAAGGAATGGGTACAGGGCCTCTTTGTTCACCATGCTAATGGCTTGGGAACCTCTTTGTTCAACACCCGTTTGGGTAGCTTGGGTCTTTGCCAGAGGAGCACATACAGGTGGTGGGAGGGAATCCCACTCCTGCATCCTAAAGAGGTTAACATCATAGAAAGGAAAGCTGGGGGACATGGAGAGTCTTCATGAAGGAAACAGTCTTTTCAATGGGGACTCCATTGAAGAAGAGCCATCTAGGCTTTGAACAGAGGTAGGGGAAAGGAAGGCCTTCGTCTACTATGAACAAGGATTCAACAGCAGGAACAGAGAACCTGGAACAGACCAGGAGCTGCAACAGAGAAAAGGCATGAGAAATAGGATAGAATTTGTGAGGATGCATGGGAGGGACCAGGGTAAGCAATTTTGAGGTTACTGAGGTTAGAAATTGAGGAAGACAGTAAAAGGTTCTTTGGTCCTGCAAAGGGATGTTTTGAGCCCAGCTTTAGGAACAATCGAGGCAGCATGGAGGATGGTCCTGCGGAAGAGAACAAAGAAAGGAAAGAGGAGTTTTGCCAAAAAAAAAAAAAGAGGCTATGGCTGGCCAGCCCTTTGAAAGGAGTGACCCCATGCAACATCTGTGCTGCAAGGGTCAAAGGCTGGCTGGTTCCTGTCAGGTGGGCCACGGGGAGAAGTGGAAGTGGGAGGAGCTGCGTGATGGCCAAGCTCATTGGTTTTAGACATGGTGCCATCGAAGGCAGGATGAGAGTCTACATGGAGATCTATAGAGCACACTATTTGTGAAGCCTGGGCTGAAGTTTAGAAGAAAGACTCTCAATTCAAATGGCTAGCCACCCTTGTTGGGAGATGAAATGACTAGAAATCTGTTTGGAGATAGAATCTTGAACAGAATCAGTATTAGATGAACAAGGGAGGCAGTGAGGACTGGGAGTGGACCCATGGGAGCCCACCAGAGGGGGGAGTTTACAAGCTGGTCAGCATGTGGAATCCAGCTACTGGGCTCTTGGTCTCTGCATTATTGATGCTGGGATTGGGGAAATCTCCATGATGCTGAGCAGCATGCCTGGTCTCTACCCACTAGATGCCAGTAGCATTCCCTTAGTTGTAACAACCAAAAACCAAAAATATCTCTAGATATCGCCAAATGTGCTGTTTATGTGCGTGAGGTGGGGGAGAGGGTGGAAAAAACACACCCCTGATAGAGAAAGGATCGTTATGCGTATGTAGGGATTACCTTGATTTAAAGGTGAATTTGGATCAGGGAGACTAAAGTTCAGGCTCTAATAACCCCCTTTCCCCTTTATGTCTACTCTGGTGTATTTTTGTAGTGACTGGCTCCCAGAACCGGAAAACTCCAAACCCCTTGCTTGGGTGAGTGGGGTTCAATGTGAGATCCCAAAAGTGTGAGGAACCCCAGAGGAGCAGCCGGATGTATGAGGAGCTGAGTAACCAGAAAGGCTGATGGGTGGCGTGGCCACAGAGACCCACGGAACCCAAGATGGTAAGAGCTGCAGAGATCGATTGGCGGGTTGATTGGGGCCAGCCTGATGGTTTGGACTGTCTACTCATGGCAGCCATCTTGCTGTCACCATGCCTTCACACACTAGGCAGTGGTGGGCGCCAGTGGGCAGCCTTGTGGAGGAGGGGAGGCATGCACACAGCCCATCGGGATCTGGGTTTTAGAATCGGCGGGTAGAACTTTGTGATCATGAAGCCCCCTGAACATAAGATTTTCTATTCTGAATGATGGACGTCAGGGAATAGGCCGATACTGGATGAAAGTGAGCAGAAAAGACTTAGGGAAGCAGTGAAGACTGACTGGCAGGCATGCCTGGGAGAAGATGGCATTGGGATGAGGGAGGAAAGTCGCATGCCAGGGTCTGCTCCCAGGGGACATGTATTGGAGTGAGGGGCTGGAATGGGACTGGGTGAGCTCCCAGGAGGAACCTGTTGTTTGTCAGAAGCAGGCATTGGCTTCCCGCTGGTGGTTTCTACGTAGCTATGTAAGGCAGGGTTTTCTACACTTGCTGGCGTCAGAAGGGGAAGGGAGACACTACTCATGTTTCCATTACCTCTGCATTTGGGGGGGGAGTCAGCCTGTTAGACCAAATGACCCAGGACCCACAGATAGCAAAGTCAACTTTTTGGTAAATCAGTAAC